AAAGCACCTTTAAAATTAGTTAAGAAATGAATTAAAAAAATATTGTTATTAAAACATTTCATGCAATTAATGAAATATTATAGATATAGAAAAACATTCAACATAGTTTATTTACTTGTTGAGTAAAGATCCAGCTTTCCAATTTAGTTTATTGCATTTACATAAAAAGAGTAAGAACTAAATAATAAGACTTTACCAAAAATCTTAATAAAACGTATGTTAATATTTGAACTGTTTTAGGTGAAGTAAAATTGAATTTACATTAATTTCAGTACTGAGTATTATATGCATTGCGGTTAACTAACAAATTTCAAGTCTAAAATATGTATCAAATGGTAAAGTTATTTTTAAATATAATTTATTAAGTTCGTAGAAATAATATGTTGAACCATAGATTAAAGAGTAGACAGGTCTCCTTTAATCTATGTTTTACCTTCGAGTTTCATTATATTTTGTAGTGTAAAGTGATTACAAACAGAACAACGTTTAATTTACTCTACAAAATATATACTACTTGTGTAACATATAACATCAACATAGTTCAAAGTTATTTTTATTATTGCTTATATTTTATTATGACACACTGTTGAGACTATCTAAACGTCTGGTGTCATGATTCAAATTTATTGCATAATGGCATAATTATATGCATAATTGCATAAACTATTTATAAATATTAGTACTGTAATCTCGTAATTTTAAATTCTGACGTTGTAGATATTTTCAACACGACGCTTAATTGTTTCAGTTGAGGATTATGATCCTAAGTAAATATAAGCTTAAACACCAACAGTTGAATCAAACATGCAAACGTAAACATTTCCGTTTTAATTTGTCGAACAGAAATTAAACTGACAATCAAATAAATTGGTGACCGCTTGGAACGATTCACGCGAGGTGAAATTGAACTATTGACCCCACTGTAGGTAATGAAGTATGCGTCGCACACTATCTCACTAATGCCAGTGTACACAAGTCTATTGTGTGCAAACACAACACACAAACACACAAAACACAAACACGAACACGGCTTTGCATTGTTTTGCAGCTAAGCTGGTCCTACGTGTTGACAGTTGCAAAGGCTTTTAAGCAAACCTCTATGGTAAACAAAAAGTCACAGATGGTCTTGGTAGGTTTTCAAACCCCGTTTTGTCAACAATGGGGACATTATTCACTTCTTAAGGTAAAACTCGATGATTTCTACAGTTTGAATTTTATATTATACCTTAGTGTTTCTGTAAAAAATAATGCTTTGCAGTTTTTGTGTTGGGTGAAAAACTAATTAGGCATTTTATTCAGATAAGGGTATCGAATCTGAATAGAAACAAGTTGTGAAGATAATTTACGTTTTTGAACTAGCATACCAGTTTAATTCTCGATAAAGTAATAATGTACAATTATGATAATTATTGTTAGAAATTATTGAAATATAAGACATTATGAAGTCATAGTAGTTAATTTGTTTACTTTATAATTTAAAAATAATACTCAACCATGGACCAATTTCACGCAGTTTATAGCTATGATGAGTTATGTAAAACCATGGACAAATAGAATTAAATAATTATATTTGTCTACGGTAAAACAAAACTGAATTTTTAGGCCTAGCCACATAATAAAAATATATTCAGCTATTTCCTTATTTGTACAACAAGTTTGGAAACGAATAAAAATGTATAAGCCCCTAAGATAGTAAACTAACTGTACATGTCATACTTATTAAAACTAAAAGAAATGTAAATTATATTCAATTGTTTTTAAACTGAATGGTCATTTGTATTAAAACGTCAGTTGTAATAAAATAAAATAATCCATATTGATTGTAAAGCCGTAGTTAATATTATAATTAATTTCATCTTTTAATTTATCTTTAAACAGCATAGTAAAGATTAATTAGTTATCCTTACATAAATTAAATAATTAATACTACAGTTATTTTGTAAACAACAACTGTGAGTTTTCTATTAAGAACATATCAGACAAAATTCCACAATAAATTAATCGAATTTTCATTAACTCTATCCATTAGCAAACAAAAATTCACATTAGTTAAATGGCTATTTACGTTCAGTGGAACAAAACAGAAATGTTAACATCAACTCTAGCGCATTCTGTTAATGGGGGCATTTAAATGGGCGGATTATTGAAAACATGTTCAGCAGATCGCTATTGCTATTGCTGTATGTAAATGGCCGAGCAATCTGGGGTATTGAGTATTGGGGTGTAATGGATACTGATCCTGGGGCACTTGTATTGGCCCGGGAAATGTATTATGGTACTGGATATGTTCGGTTGGTGTTTCTTTGTGTTAACCTCGTGTAAAGCGTATTTTGTGAAAAGTAAATTAAAACTATTTACAAATAAATAAAGTTATACAATATTTTGTTAATTATTTTGTTAACAATACATTTATCTACACATATAAATATATGTAGGCTCATTTATACATTGTATTACGTGACACTTTATGTTGTTAAATATTTCGTCAGAACTAATAACTAAATATTATATATTCAATTTGTACTTAATAGATCAACTTTATCTGTCCGTTTACAATGTAATATTTTTTTAAATTCCATCAACAAATTAAACACCAAAAAGATACGTCAAAGATTCAACATATAAAAAAAATATGTAACAATTTCAATACCTCAATCTTATCCATGATTATGTAAGGTAATTTCTAAATAAATCAGGCGATCAAGGTTGTCATTTTTTATGTTAAAAGGTAATATTTTTATATATATACAGGGTGTCCCGGAACTCTCCACCAATATTTTAGGGCATTGTTCCTGGGTAAGAAACATATCTAAATATCATATTTAAATTGTCCGGAAGTCCTTAGTTACTCAGATAGCCGCCATTTTATTTTTTCACTTATTAATTTTTTTCTGAAAATTGATTAAACATACGAAGTTGAAACTTTGCAACAACATTTATGACAACTAGACAAAGCTACAAAAAAATTATGACGATTTTTCAAATTCATAAAACAAAATGGCGGCTGTTTAAAATTTTGTTTCTTAAATTACTCAAAAACCGTTGATTTTACAAAGATTTTACAAGGATAACTTTTTTTAGGCAATTTTATTACAAATCGATCGACAACTTAATCTTTAAGATCGGACGAGTATTAACTGAGATATGGCAGTTTTAGTGATACGTGACCGCCAGATATTAGTTGCAGCGCATGCTGAAAGCGGTCACGTATCACTAAAACTGCCATATCTCAGTTAATACTCGTCCGATCTTAAAGATTAAGGTGTCGATCGATTTTTTATAAAATTGCCTTAAAAAAGTTATTCTTGTAAAATTTTTGTAAAATCAACGGTTTTCGAGAAATTTAAGAAACAAAATTTTAATCAGCCGCCATTTTGTTTTATGAATTTGAAAAATCGTCATAATTTTTTTGTAGCTTTGTCTAGTTGTCATAAATGTTTGTGCAAAGTTTCAACTTCGTATGTTTAACCAATCTTCAGAAAATAATTAATAAGTGAAAAAAACAAAATGGCGGCTATCTGAGTAAATAAGGACTTCCGGACAATTTAAATATGATATTTAGATATGTTTCTTACCCAGGAACAATGCCCTAAAATATTGGTAGAGAGTTCCGGGACACCCTGTATATATATGTATAACGAAGACTTTATATTATGTATATGATTTCATGTCAGTATTTTCATGTTCAAATATTTCAAATAACCTTATCGTTAGAATCAGTTATGATCCGACTGTAAATTATAGTTTAACTTAAAAGAGTGCCATAGTAGCGTAGTTGTAATGAGTGCCTTGGCAGTGACCAGTTTAGGTCAAGATTTTAGATTATTATTACCTTAATATGTAATAAAATCGGAATTGTCATTTCTATACGAAAGTATACATGATTGTAATACTAACGATTAGTTGTATATTTTATGTCTGGTAAAATGGTAGAACTAGAACCAGTGAAATGCCGGGTTGATTTTGACTAAAAGTACAGAGTAAACGAAAATGTGATAAATCGCTAGAGTATAACTAAAATTAAATTACATAATTTAAAGAAAATCATCTTTACTCCACTTTTCTAGACGTAGAACACTTTGGCACTGAAATGTATTTAACTATATGCGATGATTGCATTAGAGTTTTTCACAAATGAAAATAAATATGAATTGGTACATTAAATTAAAAATAATGATTAAGGACAATATCACATGCTATAAATTGATTAAATCTGTAAAATGCCAGCTGAGAAATCTTGATACTTAACAACTCTGCTACAACAATGCTGCCAAATATGGAGCAAATGTTGCCAACTTCTCAACTTTACATGGTCACAGCCAAGCGGTTTCAAAGTTATTTTAGTGTAGGCTACCGTCAGGAAATTGTACACCAGTAACATGTAAAAATAATGTGGTTTCATCCCACAACTGTAATAAATTGTAAAATTTAAATTTAAATCATTAATTTAATTGCTACCATACTTTATCCGATTATTTTATATAGGCTAATTTTTATTTGATATGTTAATAGCAAGATTTTAAGACAAACTAGGATAAACGCCAAGAAAGATAAAAGAGTATTTTTGTAAAACTGATTCTCGACCGACAATGCCGAGTTCCAGCTCTCAGGCACGAACTAAGATATTTCATAAGAAAATATAACTGTTTGCATCTATATATAACTATATGAATATATAACTATTGCAGTGTTTTAATTTAGATGATTAAGTATATTTTTACTGTAGTTAAATTTCAATTTAAAGTATATGTGAGTTTATGACATAAAACCAATTATGTAAACTTTACAGTGGACATCGTGGTCTCATGGAAAAAATTTCAACAACCTTTTCAAGTCATCTTTTAAACAAGGTTAAATTAATATGAAATTTCTACTAGAGCTCAGAACTGTAGACATAATTTATTGGTACTAACACCTTCAAAATATTCCTACTAAATCATTTTCTAATCGAATATTAACCGAAAATTATACTTAATATTATACTGAAATAAAATTCGTACCTCCAAGGATGTCGTCAAAGAACCTTTCGAAGTAGTCCTCATCGTCGTCATCATCGTCGTCGTCATCAGCCGCGGCATCATCGTCGTCCTCGTCATCATCGTCATCATCATCGTCTAAACCCAGGTCAACATCGTCGTCATCATCGTCATCATCGTCGTCGTCATCGTCATCCTCGTCAGGCGCGGCAGGGGCGGGGGCCGGCGCCACGGGGGCGGGTGCCGCGGCGACTGCCTGGGCAGGGGCGGCCTGGTCCCCCGTCACTGTGCTCTGACGGCCCGCGCTGACGGCGCCCTCGGCGTTGATGATGGGGGTGCTGGACACGGCGACGGCGAGGGCGAGGAGCAGAAGCCACCGGATCATGATGGGGCTGCAACACAACGGAGGGTTGAAGACTCCAAGGGACGTTGTGGAAGTGACAAGACATTCTAAACGTGAACACCTCCAGCATTGTGGAGGATGAAGAAACAATTAGATACAATAGTAACAGTTATTACCAAATTGGTATAAAGTGGTATAGAGACATAGCGTCCTTTAATACAATGCCGCAGCGTGACAAACTTGGCAACGTCGCAGTCCAGGCCTATCGCCACAGGTGCATTCATTTATGAAGCGTCTGTGCAATTCTAATGTTACAAGTCTTCATAACTGTTATTTTCATGGCGAGTGCGGTGTTGCCACAATTTAATACGAATCATTTATTTATCGTACGATCACGAACAGACATGTCCAGTTTCAGAGCTGAGAAAGAAGGGGAAATAAAGTATGCGTGGAAAAATCAAAGTGTAAAAAGGCCTTTATAATATCACACAAGAAATAAGATTATTAACTCTACCTTGATGTATGACTGTTGTTGAGGAAACGGAACACGTATATTATAAGCTCAAATGACGATTATTATTGATACTGTTATCGCCAAATGAATGGACAGTATAGCTTAATATCATACAAAGGAATCATTTGAACCCGCAAATACTGCAAAAACCGAAAGTGAAAGTGTTAGATGGAGATTTGAAACAAACCCCAAATCTAAAATTTGAGACATGTATTGAAATAGAACAATAAAATATAAGGACTGTACTTCAATAATTCAACAGTTTCAGAACTAATTAAAGAAGCAAAATTAAATACCTTCGAAGAATTTATAAATTTGCATGTTGACAAAAGGATAAGCAAATTTATTTTAGGCTACTTAAGTGAGCACATCATTTTATTTAAACCTTATGCATTAAGTACTCGTAATAGAGCGTAATAACTAAAGTCAATGTGATTTCAAAAACTATGTAGACAATAAATTCAATAATTGGCAAGATTAAAATGAATAAGAGAGAATTAAAGTATTTTCAACGTAACATCAAAAAAGAAATCAATTGTGTATAATATATTACGTAATGCTGTAATCTAGACAAGTTTAAATAATATTACAAGAAGAGACTAGGGCAATTTCAAAACACTTACTACTGCAGTTGGTTATACAAAAATGTAATATAACCATATAAATGTTATGTGTTAGGTAAATACATATTCATTTATTATAAACTAGGTCAAGGCCACTTCTGAGATGGCGCCACCATATGATTTGGATTCGCACAAATATTGTCACAATCTTGTTATTAAATTAAGGTTAATATTTGTATAAAAACATAACTGTTAGTGTCAAGTTAACTGAAGAAGACAGAATCAAAAAAGCATTCCTTTTAATTGAATATGAGTATATTGAATATGAATAGCGACATTCAAACATTATCTACTTGTACAACTGGAACAAAAAAAGAAACAACTAGAACAAGAAACAAAAGTAAGTACACGTCACTTTTCCTCTACGAAAATATCCGTTGTTTATAATCGATTATCACTATCGTTGAAAAAAGTTAAACCTCTTTAAGAAGAAGAAGAAAATTACTTAACTAGGAATACTAATTATAAAAGTAGGTCACGTCGAGCAATATAATATGAGTACAACCAAAATATTTAAGAACCCATAAAAACTTGAAACTGAGCGGAACTTTGCAGGACATCTAAACTTCCCGTAAAACCTAAAGCCTGTTTGATATGTGGTACATGTCCGGCTACGCTAGAGCGCACCAATGCCGTCTAAGCGTTTCTTATTGTAGAGTAAATTACACAGCATGATCCTTACTCATCAAAATAATACCAGGACAAAGAAGGGGATTACGAACAAATCGTTTTGTTTTATGTAATCGCAATGGTCGAGTGTTTTTATTTTAATGACACATCTTTACATCCTAGGACGTTAGGTTCTTTCCCGGAACTGTTAAACACATTACTTCAGGCTAGTCCTAGAGGGTTAGAGCATTATCATAGAATCCATTGGTGATTGGCGGGATTTGAACCAGGTACCTCGGGTTTCGAAACCCCGAGCTCTACCAATAGACTAGTTCACTCCCCAATGGTTGAGTGAATATAATATGAAATGAGAAAGCAAACAACAAAACTCCCTTTACCTATACAGGACAAAAGATATCTTAATTCGATATTCAGCTGATCCCTAAAATGTTGATTATATCGATCTGTTGTGTAGCCTACATCTTTGGTATTTCCATAATCCTCGAGTCGAATCTTTTAAAGTCATCAGAAATTATGACTGTTGTTCGTTTTAAAATAACGCCTGTAATACTTAGAAATTGCTCGAAATCGAGTAACAGGGACACTAGTTCGTTATAAATCAATGAAGATTTGTAGTTTTGATATATACAAAATATAGTGCTGTAATATAGTTCCACGTATTGTATCTATATATTTAGTGTTGACTACTTATTTGGATTTTATGGACATTTAACAAATGATAATATAGATGAAATATATTTTGTTTTACTAAAACAGTTAAAGAATGTGACAGTTTTATTCTAACTGTTAATTTAATGCTAGACAGTTTAGTACTCAACCTATGTACCACCAAGGTTATGTTCAGTTTCAGTAGCTCTTTGAAGGTTTCCCCGGACGCATTTTCATTTAGAAGCAATTACGTTAGCAAATATTTATTCAGCATATCAGTGGGGAAAGTAAAAAGTAGCGGGAAATTAAACTGATTTAAATATTCATCTGCAGTTAAGGGAAAGTTACGTGCGTCATTTACATTAACTGCTCTTGGTGTAAGGGAGCTCGAATCGAATACAAATTTTGAAATTATACATAATTCCACGCCCATTTAGCATGTCCGGTGTTTACATAATGGTTATTAGCGATATTAATAGAAAGTATCGATGGAAATTGCGAATATAATAATGGCAACGCACCAAGAGCTAAATTTTAATAGTAAATAATAGTTCACTTAGAATACTAATAAAAATTGTAAATCCAAATAATTTATTCGAAACGTGAAATTAATTATCGTTCAAAACATGAAAAAAAGATATTTTCTGCAACTGGGTCATGAAAAAATTAGACTATGTCTTTGTGAAGAAATTTACATAAAACATACACACCTTAAGGTCCTCGTTATAGACGATTCTTGTAAAAACTAAAAGTATAGTAGTAATGAAAAACGGCAGATTGTCAGTATTCTTCACTACATATTCCACAAGTAGGTTCTGTACCAAGGCACCAAGAATGTGTGTATTTTTCTCCCCCGCGTCATTTGTCTATAAGTTACTAGCCTGTACGCCAACAAGCTCAATTATTTATTGTCAGGGCGGACAAAGCATGCATATCGCATATCGATGAATCGATGATTTTATCGTTTCGCCATCACGCAACCGTGGAACACATGATCTATCAATAATATTTCATATCAGGCCAGTGTATCATTGTACTGTATAAAACAAATATCGTGTCGAATGTAAAACCTATAAAATATCAAATGTATTATTAAATAGTGTTTATACACTTTTATTGGAAATGCACTATACCTTCTTCTATCGTAACTAATTCTGTTTTTCATTTGTGAAACTCAAGTCTTATTGGTTAGATATTGATATTTCGGATCAAGTATAAAGTGTCCCTGAACCCTCTACCGACCTTTTGATGTATAATTTCTGGACCAAAGACAAACTAAAATATCACGTTAAAAGTTTCAAAAACTAAAAAAAAATACCCCTATAGCCGCCATTTTGTTTTCCCACCAATTTATTTTTATATGATAATGGCTTTTTTGTGTTGAATTAAAATTTAGTGCATAGATAAAAAAACTCTAATAAGACCTATTTCAGAAAAAACATTATTTTAAATCATGTTTAGTTTCAAAATAGCGGCCATTTGAAATTTGTAAACTGGTAACCATAAGAAATACTTACATAAACAAAGTCGCAATTTTATATTTAGACGATTCTCTTACAATTGTAGCTATACCTCATTTTAAAAATCGGTTCTTAAATAAGGTAAACAACTCATTTTTAAGATACTGTGAACACCAATAATTGCACTCATGCAACAATAAAACAGCTGATTTTTAGCTAACTAGCAGTGATGTTACCGAATGACCACAGATATTGTTGCAAAATATGTGGTGTTGTTAATTGTAAGTGAATTATCTAAATATGAAACCTAATGAAAGTAGTTTTGTTTACCTAAGAAGATATTACAGTTTTTTAGCTAAGTTATTTTAAATGGCCGCCATTTTGAAGCTAAACATCACACAAAAATAATATTCTTTTAGGTTATCATTTTATCATTAAAGCTTACAAAAAATTAGTAATTAAAATTAGTTAAATGCGGGTGTCCTTAGTACAAATTAAGACTACCACGCTCAAACCAGCATTACTATTTTAGGCTAATTAAAGAACAATATAATTAACCTTCATATTAAACCACCATGAAGGTATGGGAACTAGTACAGATAAGACCATCATCAGATACCATGGCTGTTTATAACTGTTTACTAAGGCCATACGGGTGAGATGTTTAGCTTGGAAATAATTTGGCCTATGAATCCTCTGGTCTATGTTTACAATGTGTATATTTTATTTCATAGAAAGTCAGCTTTATGGTAGTGGACCTAAAGATTTTGACAGTTCTGATCAAATCAGCTGTTTATATTTTTCCATTGTTATACTTTAAACAAGTTAGATTGGACAGCCGGAATTTTTGTCTCAAGAGACGTATAGTGAAAGTTTAAAAAGGAATTAACTGTTGTAAAGCTAATAACAAATCTTTTCTAGCAATATGCCCTAACTAAGTCCTTAATCGTAATTGCAACTGCATTTCTGTAAGATATGCATTATAATTCATTCAATCATTTTTCATTAATTGCTAATAGCTAGTTTTATGTAGCCAAACCTAATACACGATTTTAGTTACAATCCTCAAATAACCGTTGTTTTGGTCGATCTCATCAACAAACTAACATGAGGAGCGTTTGAAAACCACCGATTTTGCAGCACCGGATCTAATTTAATCGTATATTCCTTGCAT